CACGTGGTTCCCACCAGACTGTGCTGTCTGTCATTGAGAGTGTCGTAAGAGGGAAGAACCATGTTCTGATTTTTTTAGGAACTCAGTCAGACGGAATAGTGTGAATAAGAAACAGAGGCTTGGAAATCAGGTTAGATGGTGTTTATAGCTTTCTGGCCTTTCAGCTATTATCAAGATCGTGAATAATCTTCTCTGCTCTAGACTTGGTAATCTTTGTTTAACTCATTCTTCCACTTGAGAAACTACTTAGAAACCAATGTCACTGAGTGGCAATTGTCATTATGTACTAAGCTAATTGTGAAAAAACAAAGTATATTTACAGATCAAATTGGGAGAGGAATTTTTATAACACCCCCATTGTGGGATGTCTTGCTAGATTCGTTGAAATAATGTGGACTCACAGACTATTATATATCACATTTGGGATCAGGCTATTCAGAAAGATAGAAGACAGGGGACCCTCCACTTGCCAGTAGGGCAGCATCAGCCATTCCTCATGATCTGCTCATTCAGTTGAGGTGAAGGACATGAGATCCACCTCTGGCAGATGTGTGAGCAACCCTGACTTGAAAGCCTCATTCCCCACAAGAGCTGTCATCTCCACAGGATAGCTTGTGGGAATCGGACAAGGAGCTCGGCAGTTCCAGTAGCCACCATTCAAGGAAGTGTCAACAAGGGTTCTGCACAGGTGTTTATAGTTCTTCCAGACCAGATACAAGTTTCGCAAACTGGGTTTGATTTTACCATAAGGAATGCTGCCTAGCGATGTAGTTGACATGGAATTTTTATAATGTCTCCAGAGAAACAGAACTCAAAGGTTAACTAAAGTTCAAATTCTTATGCAGAAGGAGAAAGGATTTGTCGGCCCCTTGTTCATAGATGTGGAGGGCGATGGAGTCGCTTCCTGGATCTTCTCGTAAGAATGCAGGAAACCAGTTTCGAATGCATAAGAACTTATTCAATTTGCAAGCCCACTATGTCCATTAATTTATGTATTCAAATATTTTATTATATTTAATATCAAAAAAAGTTCTACATAAAATTTCTTATTTTTTTTTAAGATATCATAACCGCATAGCTTTCTGTATTTGAGGCATAACACACACACACACCCAAGCACACTTATATGTAAATATGTATGGAAAATATTAAGAAGATTCCGAGTTAATTATTTTAACTTACATTTGCTATTAAGTCACTGTCTCCTGGCATTATGAGCTTTCTGCATATATTTTATCAGCCTATGACCATGACCGCTTTGCGTTCATGGATTTTCTAAGATCAGTAATTGACTGACAATGTGAACGTTCCCAGGGGGATCATGAAGACGCAATCCCAGGTGACCAAGGATTTCCTGGACCGCCAGGTCCCCCTGGCAGAGAAGGACCTAGGGGGCCCCCAGGACTGGGGTTTCCTGGTCCCCCAGGAGAAAGGGGCCAACCAGGAGATCCAGGCCGACCAGGCGAGCGGGGCCCGGATGGCATGAAGGGTCAGAAAGGTAATTTTCAACGTTCTGTGTGACAGAATGTCAAGTGACGTCGTGGAGGCTTAAGTGAGGCTCTCTTCTGGGCCAAGATATTATAGCTGTGGCAGAACCGCTAAATAAGATCCCATCGAGCTGCTGTCCGAACCTTGAATGTTGTCAAACAAATAAAAGCATTGCAGCACGATCAGTATTTAAAACAAATCCTTAAAATGCTAAGATATCTTTGACTTTGTTGATTTATTTGTTTGACGTACCGAAATTGCCTGTCTTTCATTTCTGAGTAACAATGATATAATCTTACCGTATTAAAATTACATATATATGTATTCAAAATAACAGTTTTTATAATATTTTGAGATAATGCAGCATATTATAACTAAAAGATACTAATATTTTATTTAAAAAGTACATCATTGTCCCTGAAAATCCACTTGTAAGCATTCTAGGGAGAAAAAAGAAGAGGTTTTAAATATATTTGACAGTTTTGTGAATTTCAAACTATAAAGTGATCTGCAGTGTTATAGTTGAAAACTTTTAAAAGGTTGAAAAAAAATTTATTTAAATTTTTTCTTTTCTACTATGTCTGTATACCTTGAGCTACATCGTTATTTATGAAATTTCAGAAGAAAATAATATATTTGGTTCTCACTTTGACAACATAGAAAGGCAAATATCTTGGAATTCAATAAGATTTAAAATCGTGGCCTGGGACCCATCAAAATCTAGCATTATTTTTATTCATCTCATATGTTTTTGATTTGAGAGCATATGAAATAGTACATTATGAGGTATTGTTTCTACTATAAAAGAGTAACATTCTATTTTAAAAGAGAAGGAAACTCAGAGGCACAATCTTGGAGTCTGATTTTCTTCAATAACTAAAATGAGGAATGGCAATAACCACATTATAGAGTCATTAGAAAAGTAGGAGACAATATCATTGAAGTGCTTGACCCACAGCAGGCCCTCAGTAAATGATAGCTGTTAATATCTTGCTCAGTCTCTCCATTTACCCAATTCCCCCACACCCAAACTAGGGGCTAAACCTGCTGGGATGCTTGCTGCTATTTCATGGTTTATCAAAGCTCCGATTCCATTGTATTCAACATCCAGGGACCTATCAATCCATTATTTATTCTATGTTATTAAAATGGATACTTCTTGAAACCAATATTTTTCCTAGTCCCCTTATGTTTTTAACTGCTCTGACAGCTGAAATTCAAATTTTAGGTCATATTTTCTAGAAATTTGGAATAATAGTAGTTCAAGTGATCTGTGATATTTTCGAGTTTTCCTTTGAATTCCACATATAATCTGTGAAAAACATCTTGATCGAATTGTCGTGATTTATGGCACATTGCGTTATCAATTATGTGAATGCCACTTTTTCTTTTTTTATTCCAGGTGGTACGATTTCTTGTAATGTCACCTACCCTGGGAGGCCAGGCCCTCCAGGTTTTGATGGACCTCCAGGTATGATCAATGAGAAGTCACTGTCTTAAACATCCCCCAGAGTAAAAGACCTGGCAAGAGAGATAAACCAAATGCAAATCCACAGGCTAAGAGTTAAGGTATTTCTAAATTATTATAAGCCTGTGAGGGACTATGGGGAAACAGCATTTGTAGTAATTCACATTGGGTCTCTGGTCTACTGGATTGGACACACTCCAGGTGGGTTTTTCATATCTCTTCACAGCAAAATTTACCTTGACTTGATCACATATCAGTTAAAATGTCTACCCTCTTTTGAGAGTTTTAAAATTATGTCTCCTTTCTTGTCTTATGCCTTGAGAGTGAAAAATGATTATTTGCTTACTGTTATGAGTTTTACTCAATTCTGCTTTCTAAGAGACCCAAACATCTAACCAGAAACAATGTGAAGAATGATCTCATATCTATATCTCATGAAACTGCTTTATTTGACTCAATCACTTGTTTATGGTTAAATTCAGCCCCAAATCTATAGAAGGATTTTGTCTAATTCTTTATTTATTCAGAGTTCACTTAAATTGACCAGTTGAGTACTAGCAATCTCTACTAAAGGTGACCTTTCTTGTCCCACATAAGTACAAAAAGTATTTAAAGTTTGGATGATGAATGACTATCGCCCTCTACGACCGTTAGCTTTCATCACAGTAATGTTGTGTAACAACCTCAAAATCTTAGTGGGTTATGACAAATATTTATTTTCTCTATTATTGGTCTATAGGTTAGTTGGAGTTCAGCTGACCTACAGTGGTCAGTGTTGGCTTAGTCCCTGGCTCCAGTCCATGTCTACAACACACATCTCATTTTGAGGCCAGCATGTGCTCTTATGTGATTGCAGAACTGCATGAGGACAGCTCAGGTTCATGGGCACAGTTCCCACCTCTCACTGGTTCATGGTTATTAATATCCCATTAGCCAAAGCAAGTCACATGACAAAACCCCAGATCAAAGTGTGGGAACTACTCTCCATCCACCACAGGGCGAGGGGCAGGGTGTGAAAATGCAGTTTTACATCAGTGGAATGAAGCATTGCTGGTTGGCTCATTGAATGTTCTTTTTCACATTTACTGGTATCTTGTCGTGGATGGTTAAACAAAGTTTCTGATTAGTTTCAGTAGCTTTCACCTCAAGAGAAGTGAATACTCAAACTTTAAGTTGTACGTCCTTTGAAGTCCAGGATTTGTAAATTTTTTTTTTTTTAGCTGAGATATCTCCTAGTAGGAAATCACAGGTTAAAATACAAATCCTTCAATTCCTTTTATAGGTGATTTCTGCCTACACTTTATTTAAGGGCAAGTGGAATAAGATGCAAGGAAGTAGGTTTCAGCCTTTACTCTGGCTGTTTCTCATCAGGCCACATACTGGTCACCACCTCTGTCCTCCAGCAAGGACAGACTATACTCACATATTTGTGTTTGAGACCTAGGATGGGAAGGTACCCAATCATACATCCAAAGGCTTTCAGGAAGCATCCTTTACAGCAGGAGTCCCCAACCCCCAGGCTGCGGACTGGTACTGGTCTGTGGCCTGTTAGGAACTGGGTCACAGAGCAGGAGGTGAGCGGCAGGAGAGCAAACGAAGCTTCGTCTGTATTTGCAGCCGCTCCCCAGCACCAGCATCACTGCCTCGGCTCCACCTCAGATCATCAGGCAGTAGATTCTCATAGGAGCACAGGACCCTGGTGCCACAAAGATTGAGGACCACTGCTTTACAGTATGGCTTCTGAGAAAGTTCCTTATCACAATCGCTCTCTATGAAGCATTTATTTGGAGCACGTGACTTGTAAGGTGGTAATGCAAACCAGGCTAGGCCATATCTTTACCTCCGTAAGGTGGAAATACTCTTTAAAAACTTAACACAGAATTCTTTTTAATCACCGCATTTTGTTCTCATCTGATTCGCATTTTGTTGAATCTGTGTTTCGTTGTTATTTTTTTAGGTCCGAAGGGATTCCCAGGTCCTCAGGGCGCTCCTGGGCTGCGGTGTTTTGATGGGCAGAAAGGTCGGCGTGGCAAACCAGGGCTATCAGACATACCTGGCCCACCTGGTAAGTGAAGTATTTTTCAGTTAGGAATGTCACGTAGCTCTAAAACAAGATGATCTTGGTAAGGAAATGGCCCAGAGATCCCTAGGTAATGGGGAATGGATTTTCTTGATACAATAAGCTCTTAGCTGTGTTTTGATAACTTCTTTGTTGTGATGATTTTGTAAATTTTCAGGGCTTCTTTCCCCTGAAGCATGAATGATAGGCTATATTATTGGTCTGTTATGTTGTAAAAATTGCTTAGTCCAGAAAAACTTTTTGCCAGAGAAGGCAAGCAATTAGGGAAACAGCACTGGCTTTTAGGAAATATAAAATTACAACTTATTTCCCTGCAAAAGGTGGCAAAAACATTATCTGTTACGTTACTCTTAATTTTAGTAAGTACCTCTGTATTTTTTAAAAATGTTTTTATCGAAGTAGTAGTCTTACACGTACACTGGTTCTATATTTCTACATTTAACAATTGAAACCATTTTTTTTGTTCAATAGGTTTTCGTGGTGACATGGGAGATCCAGGTTTTGGAGGTGAAAAGGGGTCCTCTCCTGTCGGACCCCCAGGCTCCCCCGGTTTACCTGGAGAACATGGTCAGAAAGGAATCCCTGGAGACCCTGCTTATGGCCACCCAGGACCCCCAGGAAAGAGAGGTCTTTCAGGGGCGCCAGGATTGAAAGGACTTAGAGGTGATCCAGGACATCCGGGGCCTGCAGGTATGATGGCTGCACTGTCCCTGTGGTCCATAAAGCCCGCTCAGTTCTGGAACAGGTCACTGAAGAGTGTTTAGACTATCTTTCCTTAGAAATCTAGAATGAAAAGATGTCACACCAGAGTCTTCTCTCATGTATAGGCACTGGTTACATTTCTAATAATCTACATTCCCTTTGCATTTTATTGGTTGTTTTCAAATTAGAGCAGCTCACTGTGGCTTAGTCAACCCAGTTCGG